ACAACCCTTGCAATGAAGTCGATTCTTTCGGCTTCCATATCCAGTCACATGTGGTGTGTCGTCTGGTACGCGTAGAGTGAAGCCAACAAACTACTGAGCCTAAAAATGACTAGTAAAATCACAGTCTGCCAAAAAAGAGCTGGAGCTGATTCCTATAGAGCATGGCAATTTAACTGGCGGTCCGCGGGCCAGATTTGGTCCACGAAGAAAAGGAAAGTGACCCACGGATCAATACCAGTTGTATTGTGTTAATGATCTATTTATGCTGGGGTTCAGGTCACTGGCCCGGGAAGATTCACATTTTCAAAATTTTGGTCTCTCAGTACTGTTACTTGAATAGCCCTACTACATATTGAAGCCAGCCAACTAATGGGCGTAAATTTGCATGGTAAAATCACAGACGGCCAACACAAGAACGGAAGCTGGTTACTTTAAAGCAGAGGTGGGTAACTCTTGCGGAAACTTCTGGTAGTTCATCGACTTCTTTTGCATATTTGCAGTTCTACAGTCTGTTAATTTTTGTAAACTGGCTTTTGCTTCTGGCTTTTTGGTCTTCTTCTATAACTTGAGTTTTGCGTACGTATCCGTTTTAAATTTCTGGCCTAATTGTATGCAGATTGTTGATTCCTTGTTCTTAAGGCAGATGCATGCTGACTTTGAAGGAAATACTCATAATTGGTCTGTTCCACGATAATTTCCCCACCGAAACTAGGTCACGTTCCATTCATAAATGTTTTAGACTTGTCTGCTGTCCGGGGGGAGGGTGGTGTTTCGAGTTGTTGTTATGTTGTTTTCATTCTGGTTTATCTTGCATTTACGTATTTCTTCCGAGAAAAAGAATGCCTGTGACATAGGTTGCAGCACACTCGGGGTTTGTGTGTTAGACCCAGTTTTTGTAGTGTTAAAAGCGCTGACGTGCTTAAATATACAACACGCGATATCACGGCATTGCCGAAACCCCCCCCCCCCCCCCCCCCCGCTCCCTTTTCCAGCAGTGTGCGAAGGTCGGGTGACTGAAGGTCGACCAATTGGAAGCGAACTAGTGTGTAACGAAGGGAGATTATGGTGGGACAGACCCGATAATTAGTCGGCTTGTGTGACCTGCTTATGACCTGTGGGTGTAAACACCCCCCTCACCCCTCCCCCTCCCCGCAACGGACGTCGATATAGGGATTATTTATTTTGTTATTTATATCTGGCATAGATTTGTTTTTGCCCCTGTTCTGTCTTTCCATGCGATATGGCGGGCTGCGTAGTCTCGAGGCATGCTGTCTGACTTGATTGCTCGAAGTTCTGGGCTCAATCACCGGTAAGGACTGGGATTATTTCACGTTGACTTGGACTTCTAGTAATTCCGCCTGGTCTCTGGGTAGTGAGATCGGACGCCCGTGTGTATTGTTGCGCACCTAAAAAATCCCACGGCAGTTGGAAATCGAAAAAAGTAGCCTTTCTGCGCTGCCTAGGCACAATTTAGAGTTTAAAATCTACCCAAAGTATTCCAGGGTCCTCGCCTGTGCTACAGACTGGGACTTGAGTTAGAAGAAGAACGGAGCAGTTATGGGTTACTATCCATGTGCCATGATGTTCATCCTTTGTTCAAACCTCAAACCTCAATCAATGCGGTATAGGGCTGTAGAGAGACATTGAAATAACGTTTTGGCGATACCAAGACCAGGAATGGAGTTCCTCTTTTCCAAAACACAAAACTTCGCTAATATTGTAGAGATCTTGTCTTGACTGTGTCTGGATGTGTATTATGTGAAGTTAGCAATAACTGTTTTTTTCCCCCCACGTAAAAAGAAATATTTGTCATCTTTCTCCAGGCTCCTGCAGCCTTCGATTTCGACATGAAGCGCAGAAGTAAAGATGCAGACACGGAACTGACTTCCTTCTTGCCATCAGAGAGTAAGTTTTGTCCGAGATGAGCTCGAGTGTGAGAGAGTCGGAATGAATCAGAAAAAAAACAGATTTGATTGAATATAACACTTGGAATCAATAAGGTTGAACCTTAGTATCTGACACTGGTCTTTGTACAAGTTTTAATTAGTATTGCGACTTGCTCTACCATTCCTCCTCTCCCATTGCTCTCCCTTTAATCTTTCCATCTCTCTACTTCTCTCTGTCTCTCGGTTTTCCCCTCTCCACCTGCAACCTTAAAAAAAAACCTCTCATATGTTATATTTTGACTTCCTTTTTAATAATTCCCTACTGCCTTGTTCGTCTTTGTTCTCTTATTGTCTCCACTCTCTCACTCTCTCTATTGCTCTCTGTAACTCAGATTCTCACCAGGAATGAATGAATGTTTAAATAGACAAACATACAGATAGAGGGACAGACAACAGTTGGACAAACAAACGGACAAGCAGCTGCTTTCATAGACACGCACATCATATACACTTATTGTCAGAAATTGGATAGAAAGAAAGACAGACATTTTTTTGAATTGTACGTATTCAAACATATACGAAGCCACGTACACACGCTGTTACAATCACGAACGCTAGCACAAACACGCATACAAACGCGTACTTGTTCAGACAGGTTAAATGTTGAGGCACTGGGGAATTATAATTTCCTAGACAACGTTATCATATATATGTTCATTTGCAAGTATATATGTCAGTCTGTGTTAATTTATATCAGACTTACTGTATAACCTACATTCATTTCACATACAGACATGACTTTCTTAGTTAAAATATTTCTCAAGGGTATTTAGAAACTATCTCCTGTATATTTTTTCGTTGAAATAAAGACTAACAAGTCCAAGGCACTAATTTTTTTTTTTTTTTTTTTTTTTTTTTTTTTTTTTTTTAAATTCCATTATTAGTGGTTGGCCGAAGAGTTAAGAGCACCAGGCCCTTCGCCGAAGACCGCGGTTTGAATTCTCGGTAATGGTGTGGAATTGTTTCCGTCATGATCAAAAATAGAATCCTAAGCCGCACTGTCTATAGCGACATCACTAGCTATAGGGCCCTCAACCATCAGCTCAAAGACCACCCTCCCTGCACTGCAACAATTTAAATACAGGCAGTAATGGCAGTTATGGCAGTTGATAAGCTGTAGTCGCTAAAACTAAAATCGCACAGTAATGCTAACGCAACACGAACTAAAAGGCAGTGTCTCTGTATCGAAGTGGTTAAACCGTTTTCCTAGCTCTCTGTACTGCGTTAATCGTTTCACGGTTGCAAATTTTACAGAAACCTATGTGATCCGTCGCCGGCGCTACGGAAACCGTGCTTTGTGCCACGAGAGAAGGAACTTTTTGGTATAAACACCCTGCCCGGTCAAGTCTGTCCTCTTGATCGTTAAATCGTTAAACACGAACCCAATAAAAATGGGTGGGTTTGAGATGTTCTGTCGAGGACATGCAGTTAACTTTAACTCATCATCTCGTAACACTGCATGTCGTTGGGTCACCAGTTTCTGCTGACTGTCTGTTCAGCTCTTTCCACCTTTGGCGATCAGTTGCGATGGACTTCGTGGTTGCATGCCTGAGGCCTGTCCAGTCCGTCAGGTTCTGTAACCAGGTCTTTCTTGTTCTGCCTCTTCTCCTATTTCCTCCTACTGAGCCCTGCAGTATTGTTTTGACAGGCTTTTAGATCTTTTACATGTTCATACCATCGTATTTTTCGTCTTTTCACTGTAGTTAAAAGTTTATAGTTGCCAATGTGTTGTATAATGGTATAGCGAACCTCTTCATTTGTAATGTGGTCTCTGTATGATATGCCAAGAATTTTTCTGAAACACCTCATTTCTAATACTTGTATCTTTCTTTCAGGTTCAGCTGTTGAGGTCCACGTTTCACAGCCATATGTAAATGTACTAATAGCTAGTGCTGTGAGCAATCGAATCTTAGTTTTACATGAAATGTTTTTGGATCTCCATAATGTTTGCTGCTTGGCAAGGACTAAACTTTAACTAAAGCTGTAATACATAAAAATCTTTTAAATATCGTTTTAAACCTACACAGAAATTAATCAATTGATCTGTGGTTTAGAAGTTTAATGGGCAAAATGGGGGGGGGGGGGTGCGGTTGCCACAATAAAAATCTTACGTATCGGATGGATGGATCGAATGATGGATGGATGACTGGATGGATGGATTGGTGGATAAACGATTGGACAAAATGACAAACATATACAAAAACACCAGCAAAGACACGCGATACTCCAACCTACAAACACCAATCCGTACGCATCTATTGACGCTTATAGCATAGAGGGACACACACACACACACACACATATTCAATCCAATAACAAATCTAAGTAAACACACTGTTAAATGCACTCACGCATGCTCACATAGACACGCATAAGTATAAGTGTGTGTGTGTTTGCGTGTGTGTCTGTGTGTGTTTGTGTGTGTGTACATTTCAACACTCACCTCCATAAAAAAAGCGAATTCTACGTATTGTTTCATGCATGCATTCACATAGACGCGCACGTACACTTTCAGACACTTTAACTTTTGAGATTCTTAGGAATTCTTTATTCGCAGACTGTGTTGTAAATGACATATCATTTGCAAGTACATGGAAAATCTCTGTAAGTCTGCATTCGGCAAGCCTGTATTGGCTATCTGCAACAGAGTGGTAAACCAGTCCTGGTTTAACATACGGCTGTGTCTTTCACCATCAAAATAATTCCTACAAACATGTTAGAAAGTCTCTCCCGCAATTTTTTTGTTGATGGGAGAAAACAAGACACACAGCCGTCTGCAGAATATTTTTTTTTTTCTTTATTGTATCGCTACTGTTTGTAATACTTTATGTTTTCTATGTTGTTTTCACTTTTTTTTTACCTGGTTTCTGTCACATTCTTTATTTTCCCCTTTCCTTTGTGTGAAGGGACTTACTTGATTGTTAACAGTTGGTCTTGCTCAGATTTTATATCTTTACCCGACAGAAAAAAACCTATAACCTCACCGAGGATTCGAACCCAGGAATTATTTTATGTAACCTCGGGAAATGTGTCTAGTCATTTGTTGCTAGGTAAATGGTTTTCTTACCATCAGATTGTAATACGTTTTCACACATCCAATTTTCATTATCGTTAGTGTCAAGAAGGGAGGAAAAGTTCCACGAGGCTGCAAGAGTCAATGACACAGATTCTATCCGGGCTTTGCTCAAAGAGAAAGTCAACATCAACTGTAGGAACAGTGTAAGTGTTTGTCAAACCCATCACCTGTATCGATGTCTGAGGCTTGGGATCAATAAATACTGTTATATCATCATTATTATTATTATTATTATCACTACTACTATTATTATGGACACAATATAAACAATTTGTGTTATACTGATGATACAATCTTGATAGCAACAAGTCAGAAAGAACTACATGAAATGATAGACATTGTGGTGGTAGAAAGTGGAAGAATAGGCCTCAGTTTAAATAGTTGAAAGACAGAAGTAATGGTGGTATCAAAGAAAAGAATTATTCCTAAATGTGTAATAAAAGTCAATGGTGTTATTTTGGGACAAGTACAGAAATTTAAGTATCTGGACACATGGATAACATCATATGGAAGATGCATTACTGAGATAAGAAACAGAGTAAGACAGGCAAAAACTGCATTTTATGAAATAAAGAGCTTATGCAATATACCTTTGTCATTGAGAGTTGGAAAAATAATGTTTGCTTGCTACATACATGCACTTTTAAAATATGGCTGTGAGTCCTGGACAATCGGTAGGCATGCCAAACAATGTCTTGAGGCATCAGAGAGGTGGTTTTACATAAGAACGCCTAAAAAAGCCAAAAAGAGCAACCAAAAGGCTTTAAAAGAGGCGGGAGGTTGAAGACAATCAGAAGGAGACAGTCATCATTTTTCGGCCATATGAGAAGAGGGGAAAAGGGACATGTTGTTACCATTGGAAAGATCTGTGGAAGGAGGGATGAAGGAAGACAACGAGAGAAGATTCTTAAGCCTTGTTGCATGGCATAGAGGTGTGTCAGCACACGAACTGATACCTGCTGCAGGAGATCGCAGATTGTGGAGAGGCATGATCGCCCACATCGGTCGGCAAGGCACCAGAAGAAGATGACTATTATTATTAAATATTACGATTATTTTAACTACTGGTACTATTGTTATTATTAGCAATATTATTATTATTATCACTACAACTATGGTTATTACGATTATTATAACTACTATTACTATTGTTGTTGTTATTATTAGTATTATTATTCACGCACCCTTAAAAGGGCTGTTGGCACGTTGCGTTACAGTTTACATATAGGGCTGCGATAGCTGGGTCTTTCGGTCGAACATATTCGAGTTAAGGAACCCCTAACTACTGGCCTTTCACGACATGCTTTTGGGAGTCAATATGTCTATTCTTTTTCATGGAAAAATGGAACCTCGGAACTTACACGGGAAGTAACATAATTCCAGTATCCCGCATTCGATTCAGCTGCATGCGATGACAGCAGACCTGTTTGCGTTGATTTAGACAATTGCATGCTTTTCAGTTGTATAGGGAGCAGTGACACGACACTAAAATACAATTAAAATTATAGTCTGCTTTAAAATTCGTGCCCTCAAACTTTAACCAATATTTAGAAAACTTATGTGCGTATCAAAACGAATTTTTGCATGTGGTCTTAAATTACCCCTGTCCTTATTATTGCATACCTTACAATTTCAAAGATTCTATTTTTTTTTTTTTTTTTTTTTTTTTTTTTTTTTTTTTACAGTGGCGAATTTTGCTGATCTTTATCGGAATAATAATTTCTGCACAATTTAAAAAAGAATATACAGAAATTGACACAAATCGTTTACTCTGTTTATGAGCAAGTCTACAAGAAATATGAAAATACATGACGTATCCGCTTTACTATTCAAATTGAGCGTGCCTTAGTTTTTTCACGTGGATTACCTCCAAAACACGTGCAATATGATGTTTTGTTGTTCGCTTCAATCCATTTACTAATTGTTTATTTTAAATCGGTTACTTTTTTATTATTATTATTATTAATCACAAATAAGGCAGCCTAACAACAAGCTGTTTGTTTACATTACAGCTTGACAGAACAGCTCTACATTGGGCTTCAGCAAATGGAAACCTAGAAGCAACAGAAATCCTGATAGGTCATGGGGCTGATCTTGAAGCAAAAGATAAGGTACGTGTTTCTTAAATTACTTATTTCTCTGCTCATCGTGTTTAATTGTTGCTACAGTTGGGACATGTCCGATACTTTTCAAGTTGCACATAACTTCTTCTTTTTTCACTTCTTCTTTTACAGCTTCCGGTGCCGAGGGAGGTACATGGTTCGAATGGATGTCTGTTCATATAATGTGTGGGTGCGTGCGTGATTGTACTTTAGTGCACATCGTGTGTACCTTTTTAGCTTTTCTTTCAGAATGCTTAAGAGACATTGAAAATAGCCCTTTCTTCTTCTTCTTTTACTTCTTCTTCTTCTTCTTCTTCTTCTTCTTCTTCTTCTTTTTCTTCTTCTTTTTCTTCTTCTTCTCCTCCTCCTTCTTCTTCTTCTCCTTTGTGTTCCCCGACTGTACACTCCGGAGAGCACTTATGGTTATATGTTCACTTTTTACGTTGTTTTGATTCCAGAACTTGAATTTTGCACTCATACGTTTCACAAACTGCTGACTCTTGTCTATCAGGCAGATGCAGTCTGATTTTGAATAGGGAAAAAAACACCTTAATTTGTCAACTATTACGACATGCTTAATATAATCGATGGGTATATCCTCCATCTCTCTATACAGGGCCTTAGATCCTAGGCAGAAATCGAAAACAGTATTTTCTGTGAACATCTGAAATCAAGATTCCTTCAATAAACATCAAAACATCTATCCACATGTCATTTATTCCCCGGCGAAGCTGTATGTAGGCATGACGTAGTAAACAAAATAGCTCTTTAATCTTCAGTTCCATGCCTAACCATTGTGAGGGATTACGTGTGTCAACAGCGCCTTGATGTTGCATAATTGATTGGGATTGCGAACTGCTTTGTGCTCGTTAGGCGGGATTAATCTTGTTCTAATGTTTGCTCTGGAATATGTGTCTGTGATTAATACCTCTCTATTTCTCTATCACACTTTCATTTATCGTAACTTTCACGCTGATTTTACTGAATGGCTGTTTCCTCTTTCAGTGTTTCCTCCGTCACTGGCATTTGCCTGAAGTGCTACTTGGTCTCGAGTCGCCGTGGCGTAGCAGCTAGATGCTCGCTTGCGAATCGAAAGGTCGTGGTTCCCTCCTTGGCGGACACTGACTTTTTTCACAAATGACCTTGACTCCCAGAACGACCCAGCCTTGAGTGGGTACAGGATGCAGTCCCTGGAAGTAGAGGCAGCCGGAGTGATGCTGACCGCATCACCCATCTTGTGCCGATTAGTTTATACAAATATAGGTCTAGCCCTATCTGCCCTATATGCCTTAAGGTGTGGAAAGGGACCTTTACTTTTACTCTTTTTTTTTTAAACTACTTGGTCTCTTTGACGAACAACTAGAACTCTCCGCCTGAGATTACAGCCGGTGAACGCGGAAAAGAAGAAGAAGAAGACCTAATATGCAATTGCACATCGTTTAAACCTCGTGGCAAACACACCCCTGCATTAGCCCCAGTACTTAACTGAGACGTTCAGAGGACAGTATGGAACCTCAACAGGACCGACTCAGATATGCACTGCACGATAGAAAAGACGTACAACCCAACAAGGACATGCATGAGGACGAGACCCCAAGGCCATACGATAGGACACAATACCTCCGCTGTGGGGGAGGGAGGGAAATAACACTACATATGAATAAAAGGAGGGGGAGGGGGAACAACACCACAAAGGTATAAAAGGAGGGGAAGGGGTATTAACACCACATAGGAAGAAAAAGAGGCGGAGGGGAATAACACCACATAAGAATAAAAGAAGGTAGAGGGGGAATAACACCACATATGAATAAAAGGAGTGGGAGGTGAATAACACCACATAGGAATAAAAGGAGTGGGAGGTGAATAACACGGCATAGGAATAAAAGGAGTGGGAAGGGGACTAACACTACATAGGAATAAAAGGAATGTGAGGGGAAATAACACCATATAGGAATAAAAGGAGTGCAGCCACCATTACAAATAGCTAATCCCACCCAAAAAATCTGAAGACGAACGCCACAGGATCAACATTTTTTTTTTCACAACAAAGATTTTAAGCAATTGAGTTTGGTACAAATAAAACTGGACCATAATTATACCTGAAGCTGTTTTTATCAGGGATAAACGTGGTCAAATATTGTCTCCACTCCCTCTCCCCGTTTCCTAATCAAACAAGCAAGCATTATGCAGTTGTACATTCATCAGTTTGCCATTACCTCTAAACAATTAGAAGCTTCTTCTTCTTCGCGTTCACCAGCTGGTGGAAAGTTCTGGTTGTTCGTGCACTTCTGAACTGCAGTCCTGCTCCAGAACCTGAGTGTTGCGTGTGCATCAGTTTTACAGATCTGATTCACTGGAATGCAGACTGTTGGTTCCTTGCCTCTCAGGCAGATGCACTCCGACTTCAAAGGAAGCTCCCCAAATAGTCGACTCTTACGACATGCTTTTAGGTAGGCAGAGGGTTTATTCTTGTTTTCCCCACGATGGGGCCCCGGAACCCACACGGGGATAATTAGAAGCAAATACCGTTGTCGAAATCAGCGAATCAAAACAGACTGGTCTGTTGCTTTATCGTCTGCATTTGATTTCAAAACTTCGTATATTTGGGATAATGAAACTGTAGTAATAATCTCTTAGCCGTGGATGTCTCTCAATAACACTTTCTAAAAGAAGGAGGGTTTTCGTCTTCTTCTTCTTCTGCGTTCGACATCAGTCATGCTACACATTGAGTCCCGTCTGGGTCAAAAATAGGATTGTGCATTTAAGGTCGCCACCGGTCCGCCATAGCTTCTCTCGCAATGTGGATCCCCTGGGCCAGATCCACAGCCTTTGCTGGGAGAGTAAGGGCAGTACTACAGTATGAGCTCAATGGGTCTGTCTTTCTGCTCCACAATCACAGGCAGCAGATTCTTTTATGCCTATCCTGTACAGGTGTGCTCGAAGACCACAGTGTCCAGTCCGAAGTCTTAAAATTGATGTTTGTTCTTTCCTGTTGAGTTTGTTTATGCTGTCACTCTCTGGTCTGTAATCTCTATTCTGCTTTCTCCACTCCCGCTTGAAAGACTGCTTTAGTGCTGTTTTGGTTTCCTTGTAGCTGTGTGGTGGATGAGGTTGTGGAAGATTACTCCCAGCTTTTGCCAACTCATCTGCTCTCTCATTTCCTTGAATACCACAGTGGGCTGGTATCCACTGCAAGACCAGTTCTGCTTCCTTGGAGAGTAAGCCAATGTTGGTCCTTAGATCTGCAATTAGTTTGTCTTGTTTTTTGCTTGTTAATGCTTGGAGAACAGACAGTGAGTCACTAAGTATAACAATTTTGTGCCCTCTGTGTTCTTGAGTGATGAGATGTTGGACTGCAGAAAATAGGGCAGTTGCCTCAGCTCTGAAGTTAGTGCAGATGTCACCTGCTGGTAGAGAGAGAGTTTCTGCTCTACTGCTAGGGGGTTTAATGTATATTCCCAAACACCCTTTCTGACTGCATCTATAGCAGAGCCGTCGGTGAAAACCTGAGTCCAAGTGGTGTTTGGATACTTATCATCAAGCATAGCAAGAGCCATGGTTCTCTGTTGTGTCTCCGTCTGGGCATCTTTTGAAGTGATCCCTGGTACCTTTAGAACTACATTTGCCTTCTCTGGCTTGCTTGTCCATGGTTCTGGCCTAAGTTTTTCGAAAAGAGCTACATCTCTTTCAAGCAGATCTTGGTGCTGTCTGTACAGTTCTCTAGCAATGTGGTTGGGGCTCTGACGCTTCGATGTATCAACAACTCTTTAAATTGTGCCACGCATGTACAATTGTAAATAAGCAGAAATCCTAATAAAGGTTATGTAGCTACATATCCTTTACAGAACCAAGCTTAGCATATTTGTTAACTATTGCGGTTTTTCTTGGCACATTTACGTTCAGTAGTTTGTCACTGCCTACTGGACGGCCGGCTCTCGATACTACTGTCGAAACCAACGCAAAGCTGTCTGTTGTCAAATCGCCTGCAGATGAGATCGAGCCCGGCACCTTGGCATTACGAAGCGCTTTCGCAGCGCCTAAGCCACACACGCTGCGTAATAAAAGTACACGACCCCTTTTTTCACCAGTTCCACATCAGACATACACTGCTAGACCTATATTTGTATTTACCAACTGAAACTACCTGGGTGATGTGGTTAGCATCAAGCCGGCTGCCTTTACTTCTTAGGAGATTACCTGGTACTCATTTTAGACTAGGTCGACCTGAGAGCCTGGGTCAAGTATTAGGAAAACAAATCCGTATCAGTCTATATTTGAACTCTAGACCTTCGGTGTGTACAGGTGTGTAGATTCAAGTGAGACTTTTGTGTGAATGCTACCTACCCATTTATTTGCGTTTTCTTAGGCTTCCTTGTGGAGATTTGTATATATGCTGCATTTCGTTTAATTTATAAATAAATTTACACGCATTGTATAGTGCCGAAGAGAGTACGGAAGTAGATTTAATGACACACAACGGGAAATAAAAATTTATTGCAGAAGTGACCGTAACGGGATTCTAACTTGCCGCCTCGAAATGGCAACAGTGTCTTGCTAAACGAAAACTGGAATTAGTAACGAGCTCAGGCCCAGCTTCGCCCAGCTACACACTAGCTGACCTGTCACTTATGATTGGTAAGGCTGGTCTACGTTAGAAGGGTGTAGAATGCACTTTCTCGTGAGTAAATTAGCCAGGTCGTGATCCATCAGTGTGATGCATTTTTAGAATAGTTAACCTAGCTATTGGAACAGCATAAAAGTGCTGATTGGTCTATTAAAAAAAAGATCTAACCATATATTCCCAACACACCTAACAATGCAGAAAAGGGGACTTTATTAATATTACTCTTATTGTTACTATTATCACATTTTAATATCCATCACTATTATCATCATCATCTAATTCTCTTCGTCTTCTTCCTCCTATTTCTTCTCCTTCTTCCTCCTCTTATTCTGTTTATTATTTTTTTTTTTTATTATTCACCGGTATCATTTTTTTATCATCCTCGACTCCACCCAACCCTATTCCCCACTTCCTCCCCCGTCTCCTGCTGCTTCTTCTTCTTCTTTGCAATTTTTAAGTTAGATATAAAGCCTCAGTCAACTCACACCAAGCCTATGCAATTAAAATATTATATGTTATGAGATGACCATGGGTTCTATAAATATACATTAGAGAACAATGTGTAAAATGAACACACAGACACGTGGAACCATTGAATGCCACCTGTTCTTGTTATGTGACAGTATGGCATGAGAGCGGTTCTTTGGGCAGCATGGTTTGGACATGTCTCTGTACTGAAAGCGTTGATCAATGCCGGTGCGAACACCAGGGTAACCAACAAGGTAAAGTTCACATGTTTCCTCTGTCGACTTATCTGTCTGTTGCGTGTGGGTGTGTCTGTGTGTGTGTGTTTGATTGTTTGCTTGCTTCTTTGTTTGTTTGTTTGTTTGTGTGTCGCTGTCTTTTACGTTTGATTTTTCTTATATGTCTATGGCACAGAGTGTATTTGTTGCTGGATTTTAAATTATTTTTCATAAACCAATCGGCACTCAATGGGTGGTGTAGACAACATCCTGCTTGCGTTTTTTTTTCTGAATATTTTGCAGCACATTTCCGTATCCACAAAATATATTTCTAGAACATATGAGCTCTTTGGCTTATCAGAATATAGTGTTGACATCGAGTTAAATGTTTTCATTGCGAACTCATGTATTAAATCCCCTGACCTGCATGTTTGCACGTGCGTGTGTACGTTTGTGCGTGAACATAGAAAACCCTTTCTTATGTCGATATGGTAAAATGTGCTATACGGTTCTCGAACTGGAGCAGTAGATACATATTATGCAGCTACTGCAGGGAAATTTGAAGCCTGTCGATAACAAAACAACAGTAACCATATAGCCAAACGTATTGAAGACCTCGTGGTAAACCGAACAGCTTGGTAATATCCTAAGACGCGAAGAAATATCTGCCACTCCCAAGAAGAATTAGTGTTGATGAAACAAATCCGGTGTTGACCAAAGGAAAATGAAGACTACAGTCATACCTAAATTTGTCAATGCAATCTTCATAATCATCCCGTTGGATCGTTATACATCACATCGTTGCTGGCAATTCATTCTTCTATTCCCTTAAATTCTGTGCAGTCTTTTCGATACCATGGATGTAATCTAGGCCAGACCGTTGGCCTCTCTCATCCACGTTTGTCTTAGAGTATCTCATGAACGGCTCAATTAGGACTTAAAAACAGAAAGAGCAGCGCATGAATGCCCTGTAATACAATGATAGAGAACTTCGTGGATATTGATTACACATACATGTATGTGTGTGTGTGCGCGCGCGCGTATGTATAGATGTAAGTGTGTGAGAGAGACGAACAGACATAGGCAGATAGACATATCCGAGAGACAGGGATAAAATATCTCAGCCACTGTGTATGTATATCTGAGTGTGTGTGTGTGGATATATATGTATATATATATATATATATATATATATATATATATATATACAAACACACACACAAACACACACACACACACACATTCATATTACTCGCTTGTGTGTGCGTGTGTGTGTCGCCCAAGCCACAGCCTTCTGCAGCTGGAGAAGGCGTTGCCCATGGGACACGAAATGATCCAACAATATTTCTCTAGGTTCGCTTTGCGCTTCTCTACCTCGATGTTTACTACAAGATGGACTGAGCTCCAAGTTGGGATAGCTATGGGGTGTACGATTTCGCCAATACTGTTCGTTAGGGCCATGCAGGTCATGTTAGACGGGGCGGCCGTCTACGGACAGGGCCTTCAGATTGGGGACCACTGGATGCCGCCACTACGTGCATTTATGGATGATACGACTATTATCACGGGCAGTGAGGAATCTGCTCGAACGATTCTGAAAAGATTGGATGAGGTGGTCCAATGGAGCGGTATGCAATTCAAACCGCAAAAGTTTAGGAGTCTGTCAATCCTTAAAGGTCGGGTGGCGGCGATCAGTTTTACGGTGGCAAGGAATCAGATCCCCACGGTTCTAAAGGAACCGGTGAAGAGCCTTTGTCGCGTTGACGATTCGAAGTTATTTGACAGAGCGGAGGTCCGGCGAATAATGCATCAGTCACTGGCTACATACCTGCTCGCGATCGAGCGAAGTAGGCTGATCGGAAAGTTCAAGGTCTGGTGTCTCCAATTTATGTTGATTCCAAAGCTCCTCTGGCCGCCGCTCGTATACGAAGTGACGATGACTGCAGTGGAGACAATGGAGCAGAAAATCAACACAGTCATGAGGAAGTGGTTAGGAGCACCGCCTTGTCTGACTGATGTGGCTCTGTATTGTAAACAGGTGAAGCTGGTACTCCCGTTCAAATCAATAACCGAAGAGTTTAAAGTCGGCAAAGTAAGACTCGCCTTGCTCTTGAGAGAGCCTTCAGACCTAAATGTCACTGCTGTTCAGCCCGCTCTAAAGACTGGCGTCAAGTAGAAGGTCCTAGATGTGATCGAATCTGCTAAAATTGCACTAAAATTAAGAGCAGTTATGGGTTACACTCAAACCGACAGTCGAGGCCTAGGGCACAGGAAAGTCAGTTGGTGGTCCAAAGCCACAGCCAAAGAGCGCCGAGACATGGTGATACAGCAGATTAGGGACACCAAAAACGAGGTTCGGGTCCAGAAAGGCGCAACAGTCGCAGCAAGGCCAGTTGATCAGCCTAGAGAGCGCCTTGCCACGAGTACTCACAAGGGGTGAGATCTGCCGAATGGCCCCGCTGCGACTGAGCTTTATCGTTCGATCTGCCTACGATGTATTACCGTCTGGTGTCAACATGGTAAAGTGGAGTGCGGCTAACTACCCGATATGCCCGCTATGCAGAGCTAAACAGACGCTCGAGCACGTACTGTCCGCGTGCAGAAAAGCCCTAGGTCAAGGCAGGTATACTTGGCGCCACAACAAGGTGCTGAAAGAGCGGCCGTTGTGGACCAAGCTAGGATGAGGGCAAATGCGAGGGCCAGTCCTACCGTCGTCCCCTTACGCTTCCTTAAGGCTGGACAGATTCATAAAGGTAAATTCAACAGTCACATACGCTCCATCGATGCTAGACTGTGCGAGGGACTGGTTACTAGCGGTTGACCTGCCTGGTCATGAAAAGTACCCTGAGTTAATCCGGAAGACTGGCCTGCGACCTGACATAGTCCTACACTCTGCGGAGAAACGTCAGCTCATCCTGATTAACCTGACCGTGCCGTATGAGTCGCGAATGGACGAAAGCCACATGTACAAGCTCGAGAAGTACTGTGACTTAGCGGCTGGTCTGAGGAGAGACGAAGCGTACACAATAAGAATCTTCGCCGTCGGGGTAGGCGCAAGAGGTCTCGTTTCCACTTCAATGTACAATGTGATTAAACAACTAGGCTTACGAGGTAATGAACGCAAACGAGCACTGAAACAACTGGGCGAGGTTGCTGAAAGGGCCTCGAGCTGACTCTGGACACAACGGAACGTCGTGTGGGACGGGCCTCGGTGATCTGGTCCGGGTGTCTAGTGGAAAAGAATGTCTTATCCCCTAAAGTCCATCGTGTCAGAGTTGTCTGCCAGTGTCCCTCTGCCCTCTGCCAACAAAATCCAACATGTGTCCGGTAAACCAAACGTAAGCTTGCCACTTGGTCTTCTAGGTAAGCTGACTGCTCTAATTATGCCACCGCAACGACTTCGTATCTCACAGTACCTTTTGCAAAGTCACCAATTCGTCTTGTCCCTGACCAATAACATCCGGTATACGTGCAGCAGGAGGAAATCAACCCTGAGTCTCATGAACTCAGGTGGGCCCACTCTCTGAAATGTCTAGGAGCTCGTGGGCCTAAACATTTGTCGTCGAGAGATTACTTCTACTGATGATTGGTAGACTCCTGCTGTACATGCTCTCCTGTGGAGTTTCTTCTTACTTATGCATGTTTTAGTTGAGTATGCAGTATCCTGTTCTTAGACGGGAAATTGTTGTATGTTGATTTTTGTCGAGTCTGCTGATGGGGTCTTGTGGATGTTTACCGTTGGTTTGTTATCTCCACAATTCCTCGCATTTTTTTATAAGTGTTTTGATTTCTGGTAATGACAATGAATGGGTGTGCTGTTTTATCTTTGTTCCAGTTTTTGAGATGTTTGTTAGAGTGTGAGTGCACGACTTTTAAAATGCATCATAGCTGCCTCACTTGCAGAAAAAGAAGACCAACACAAACAAACACACAAACACACACACATAAACGCACACGCCTGCACACACACACACAATAGACTCATGTACACTCACAAATGATGAAAAGTAACAATGATCCACTGTATCTTCCGACAGCAAGGCTTGGGTATCTTGCACTGTGCTGCAGAAAACAATCATGTATCTGTGATATCCTTTATAGTTGAAGCCTTGGAGAACTATGATGTCAACCTAAAAGATAAGGTACTTACAAGTCTGTTATTTAGGTGTAGTGTTTATAATGTGTTAATCTCCGTGTGTGTTCTGGTGACCCTTTTGGTGGTGGGGGAGGATGAGAAATAACCCACGCTTCTTTATTAATATCCTATCCCAGATGACGTCACGGTACAGTCCAACATTATAGAGGGTGATAAGACTGGGCTTCCCGGCTTTCTGATGCTTTTAACGACCCCAAAACATCTAGAACTGGCCCTAACCTCAACCCACCTACGTACCACGAGAGAGTGCAGCCTAGATCACACGATTGCATGCAGCCTAGATCCCACTACTGCATGCAGCCTATCTACCACGCTCTAAAATATCAAACTGTTCCGTGGCATGTGGATTTCCCCTGTTTGGGATAGGATATTAATAAAGCACCTGACCCACTGAACCACTAACAAGCATGTCATAGAAGTGTTTCCTTCAAGTTGGAGTGCTTCTGCATGAGAGACGAGAAGTCAACAGGCGGGATTTTTTTTTTTAAAGTCACATCTATAAAGTGGGTGTACACGCAACACGCAACGTCTGAAACCAGACCATAGTCCAGAACTGTATATATCGGGATACATTTGTGTTAGTAATCAGTAACAGTTCATATGAGACAGTATGTATCTAGTGATCTTCACAGACGGGTCCGTTTTACAAGGGCATAAGAGTTCATGGGCATTTACAGCTCGCTCTTCAGGCAGAAGAGTTCAAGAAACCTGCGGTGCCTTCTTCATGACCACTAGCATGACGATGGAGGTATTGTCAGTGACACAAGCTTTCATGTGGCTAGAATTACAGGACTATTCCCGCTTGTGAGTGCTGAATGATTCTTTGAGCATAATCCGGCGGGTTGATGCAGGCTGGTTACGCAGACAGGTTTGAGTCATTGCAAAACTCTCCTAAGTGTCAGTTACCTTCATT